GGGCCCGGAGAATCAGCATGCTGACAACGGTAATAGTGGAGGCCAGGTTTTCTCTCTGTGTGTGCTTAGAGGGGGGAATGTACAATTCTCAGCCAAAATACAGAGGGCTTTCTAGCACTTGTACTCCCTTCTCTCTCCCCCTTTTTTCTTTTTATTCCAGTTGCTTCTTTAGTAAACTCTATCTTCTTCACTATGGAAAGCTGTTAATTAAAGTGTGTGTGTGTGTGTGTGTGTGTGTGTGTGTGTGTGTGTGTGTGTGAGAGAGAGAGAGAGAGAGAGAGAGAAAGAGAACAACATTTTTACCCAAAAAAGGATTAGAGCCTGAAGCCCATGTACCCACTATCCTAATGGGCAGCTCAAGGACAGCAGCCCTAACTGGCAAGAGGCCAGTGCTCCTTCTGGCCTAAGGAACAATGCTGGAGGGATTCCAAATACATTGAAAGTTTGTTTAAAAAATGCAATCTGTTCTTAACACAAATTGTTGCTACAGTGTTGGTCAAGGCTTTCCTGCAAATACCGCCCACCAATCCAGTAGGGCAGTGTTATCTGTACGCTCTGTGGTGCAGTGTGAATTCAGACAGCCAAAAGTGAGATAATTTGGTTTGAGGAATTAGAAATTGAGTTAGTCTGAGAGAGATCTCTCAGTTTTACCAAACTCGGGGGTGGGGTAAAGCAGGCCTACCCAACCTTTGGCGGGCCGCAAGTTATGCAGGCCTGAATAAAGGTATGTCCGAATACCAATGTTCTCAGCCACTGGAGTTTGATGGCATTCCTCTTTATGAGAAGTCAGCATCCTATAGGAGCAATTCTCGAGGAGATCAGTGGTCAAAGGAGATGAACAAATAATTCGAAAGGGAATTTCAAACTGTTAACAACTAGATCCAGTGCCTGTCCCTTTATAAATGCTTGCTGAGTGGAATATAAAAGATTGCTTGAAGTCACAAATTGTCATGGAAATACAAATTACAGAACTCTGGTTTGGATTCATATCCAGCAAATTGATCGAAGGACCAAAGGCAGGAGAGGTAGCAGGGTTGGGGGAGGGGCAGCAGAAAGACACACACTAGTAGAGTGATGGAGGAGTGGTGAATTGGTCCCATCATGCTGGAAACCAGTCTGGAATTATGCCAAAAAAAAACCTCAAAAGGCCAAACTATTCATAGCCTTTCACCCAGAGAGCCTACTGGTGGGCAGGATCTCGAAGACAGAAGGACTGAATATATACCAAGACAGTCATAGAAGTATTGGGGGTAGGAACAAATGATACATGGTGGTTGTCCATCAGTGAAAGAAGGGCTGAGCACATTGTGGTATGTGAATGTAATGAAATATAGAGGTGGGAAGAATGACTGCTAGGAAGAATTCAGAGAAACATGGGAAGGCTTGTATGAACAGATGAAGGATGAAGGAGGCTAGGAAGGGCAACTGGGTGACCAAGTGGATAGAGTGCTAGTCTTGGGAGTTAGGAAGACCTGAGGACAAATCTGGCCTCAGACTCACACTAGTTGTGTGACCCTGGGCAAGTTACTTAACCTCTGTCTGCCTCAGTTTCCTCATTTGGAAAATGGGGGTAATAATAACATCTACCTAACAGGATTGTTATAAGGATCAAATTAGATACAACATGTAAAGTACTTTGCAAGCCTTAAAACACTAATGTGTGTTTATATGTATATGCATGTTATTTTTATTATTCTTGTTAAGCAGAAGGAATATGGATATAGATATGTAAACTACCATACTAGAAATGAAAAGAACAATTGTATCAAGTCAAAATCTGCTATAATCGTAGTGACTGATCTGCGCCCAGAGATGAAGCTAGGAAATGAATGACTATCCTTTCCTTGGAGAACTTGAGAGTTATGGGTGTGAAATGTTTGATATGGCAGCAGATGCAGCCAACTGGGCAAAGAAAGCTAATCCAGAAATAACCGATGTTACAAATCAGAGGCATTGTTTTTAAAAAGTCATTGCATAAAGCCTTCTCCTCCTGGGTATCTATATTTTGTGACTCCTTGCATTAACCTCCATCAACAAATCAAAACGATGAACTCTTGCACCCAAAGGAGGTCAGACAGCCAGGATGATGAAGGGGCTGAATTTGAAGATTGGTTGAAGGAACTGGCATATTTAGCCTAGAGGAAAACAGGATTTTTTTTGGGGGGATGGGGCATGCTAACTGTTCATTCATGTACTTGAAGGGATGTGTGTGTGTGTGTGTGTGTGTGTGTGTGTGTGTGTGTGTGAAAAAAGGGGTCCAACTTGTATAATTTGACCCCAGAGAGCAAAACTGAAACTAGAATCGAAACTGCAAAAGGCAAATATAAGCTCAAAATTAAGGGAAAACTTGGTAACTCTTAGAGAAGAAAGGGTGGCTTACCCCCAGGAAATAGCACCTTCGGGTAAAAGCTAGAGAATCACTTTACTTGGGTATGTCCGTTCCAGGGGAGATTCTTATCCAGTATCTGTTAAGTACTTTGCAACTTTAAAGCCCCCTGATGATCTGCTATGATGGCTGAGCAATGGCTGGCTTACAGAGGAGCATTGTGCATTTTCAGTGTCAGAGCCATGGATGGTGACAGTTACTCCTACAGTAGGAGCTGGAAAGATGGCCCTGCGTATTTTTGCATAGCTGTATGCAATGTACTGTATAACTTTTAGAAAAATATGTTTCTTCATTTACCGTGAGGAAATTCTGTTACCGCAAGCCTATAATTTACCCACTACTAACTCTTCTCACTTTGGAACTTATCTATTCATATTGAGGCTAATTATAGTTCAGGGTGGCAGCCAAGTATGTGAGCCATCTGAATGAGTGAGTTTGTCTGACAACAGTCCCCCTTTGTGGCCCAAGCTTCTAACCTGAGCATACAAAGAGAGGCCATTGCGTGGCATTCCTGGGAAGATGGAGAACAAGGAAGGAGGTGAAGAATGATTTTCTGACCACGCCGCTTTTTGACGTATTCCTTTAGGAATTGCACAATAAGATTTTTTTAAAAATTTGTCTCAAGTTTCGTTGATGCCTTTTGTTGTCTTACACTGTGGTTTGTTGTTCAGTTATTTTTCAGTCGTGTTCAACTCTCCATGACCCCATTTGGGGTTTTCTTGGCAAAGATACTAGAGTGGTTTGCCATTTCCTTCTCCAATTCATTTTACAGATGGGGAAACTGAGTCAAAGAGGGTGAAGTGACTTGCCCAGGGTCACACCGCTAGTAAGTATCTGAGGTCATATTTGAACTCCTGAAAATGAGCTTTCCTGGCTCAAGGCCTAGCACTCTATCCACTGCAGCGCCGCCTGCTGCCCCATCATTTGGTTATTTCCCACTCAGTATCCCTGACTGCCAGCACCATCAGACCCTCCCTTGGAATAAAGATAAACGGTCAAAACAAGCTAATAGGAAGTCACGCCTGAACATATACTTAGCATGTGGCTCTAACGCTGGCTGCGCCTGGGGGAGTAAATGGACCTCTTGCCTGCTCTCCGGGATCCGCCTTGTTCCTTGGAGGTAATCTCAAGTCAGCCGCCCCTTCCTAGGTTAGAATGTAAACTCCTTGAGGGCAGGGGCTGTCTTGTATTTGGTGTCTGGTACACCATAAGCACTTCATGCTTTATCCATAAGGTTTTTTAGAACAATGAATTTTATAAACAGAATTTCAAAACCTGATAGAACAGAAGAAAGTCTTCACTAGGTTGTACCTTTCATTGCCTGTCTCTGCAGCAGAGAGCAAGCTCCAGGAGAGCACAGGCTTTTTTTTTCCCCCTTCAATCCTCATATCTGCAGCCTTGTCATTGTGAATGCCTGAGGAGTGTGTACTGAATTGAATACAGTTTTTCTTTCATTCCTGCCTGACTCTGTCCTTCAGGGTCTTTAATTGTGTTATGGGGTAAAGTCTAGCTCTTGGTAGAACTTAAGGGTCTGACTCTTAACTAGTTGTATGACTGTGGACAAATGTTTTAGCGCTTGAAGCTTCCACAGCTGTAGAATGGGGATAATCAAACCAGTGACGTCCTGAGACTCCAATGGGATGATGTGTATAAGGTGTTAAGCACTAACAGAAAGTCAGCCGTTATTACTGTTACTATTTTGTCAAAGACTGAGATTCCCTGGTTCCTTTTGCTCAGAGTCTCAAAGAGAAATATAGTGCCCACATCTCCTTTGCTCTCGTGGATTCTTTTGTGATACTACATTTCTGAGAAACCCACTGTTGTGCAGCGTATAGTCAGAAAGGCCCCATTGTGGGAAGTTCCACATGTTTGAACATTTTATGTCTCAAAAGTTTGTGCATGGATTGCTTCTGAGCTTAAACCCCGCCTTCCCAGTGTTATCAGTCGTGGTGTGGATTGTCAGCCAGCCCAGAGCGTTCTACTTCAGCCTTCCTTAGAGTACCAGACTTTGGGGATTCAGTACAATTAGTGTGAGGGCCAGAGGCCCTGGACAGGGCTGTTTTTGTTGTTGTTTGTCCTGCATTCTCGAAGAGGACCATGACATCAGGAAGGTGATGCCATAATGTGCAAGTAAATTGGATTTAAGGGAGGGAGGGCTGTGCAAAGTCACCAGCCACACTTTCTGCTCCGAGTCATCGGGGTCCAGTGGCAACATACAGATCAGGACGACTGGAGATGGCCCAGGCTGCAGTGGGAGACTTTGGCCTTTTCTGGTGCGGGAAGAAGGAAGGGGAATGATAGGTTTCCCTGCTCTTTCTTACAAGGTTTGCTAATCCTAAGCAGTGTTTTGAAGTAGGCAGTGTTTGTGTCTAGCATCCTCTTACCACAAAATCTTCTTGGTTTTCTTTTCCTATCAGTAATGATGTTTAAAGCATTCCCAGTGGTGACTAGTGGTATATTAGCATCTGACTTGTACTGGATAATTAACTTCCTCCGGTCTGCTGTTATCAATTTAAATGTACTTGCCTAATTCATTATCATGATAAAAACAATACGACAAACTCTAGCTTATCCTTAGTTTCTAAGCATGTCTCGTGTTCATTTCTCATTACAGTGCTGGACCCAAAGGAGACAACATTTATGAATGGCGGTCAACTATCTTGGGACCCCCAGGGTCTGTCTATGAAGGAGGGGTTTTCTTTCTTGACATTACCTTCTCACCAGACTACCCATTTAAGCCACCTAAGGTCAGTATGACTCTCTTAAGCAATCATTGTTATCATAAATAAACCACATTAGAAGTGTACACTCCATTGCCCCAAAGAATTTCCCAGGGGTGAAAAAGAAGTAATGACGAGGTCTGTTTCCCCTAATTCATGCCTAATGTCCCTGTTCCTCTTCCTTGCTGTAAATTCTCTGACAATTAGAGTTATCCAGAAGGGGAATGGCTTCACTCCTGCAAGGCTTCATGCAGAAGGTGGATGGTCCCTTGTTGAGGATGTGGCAGAAGGGAAGCTGTAGCAATAGGGTATTGGTGTGATGGCATATGAGGCTGTTGCCAACTCTGGGATTCTGTGACATCTTAAAGAAGAATGAAGACACCCAGGGTGGAAGTGGGAGGTCCATGGGGAACAAGTCTGGGACTAGACTCTAGCACTAGAACTGGTACTGATAGCGCAGTCGTGATCGGCCAGGGATCAGAGGCAGGCACGAGGCCATGGTAAGCATTAGGATGCTAACACTGGAGTTCTGAATTGGTGAGGGACTGGGTTTATTACGTATTTCATTGAGTTCCCTAGGGTGTGAAGATCGTTTGGCTGAAGGGAATGTGTGACACACAGATTGTACAGAGATGTTCAGCAGTCCATTATCAAGGCCTCTGAGATGTGTAATTATTAAATCTGAGTGGCTAACAGATGGTTTTCTGTGTAGGTATCTGAACTCACCAAGTCACGTCATCTCATTGAAAAAACTGACTCAATTAAGCAGCCCTTGATTATCTGGGTACTGATTATATGGTTCGTGGGTTCTTCTAGTTCCATGCTTCCCTTCTTACTATTTTGGGAACGGCATGGAAAGGGCCCTGGCCCCAGAGTCAAAGATCCTGGTTTGAATTCTACCTGTGTGACCTTGGGCCTATCACTTAATCTCCTCAGGCGTCAGTTTCTTCAACCATACAATGAAAGAGTTGGAATAGACGACCTGAGGTCCCTTTCCATGAGGTCTCTGTTGCTGTGAGGCTGGATTGGGAGTCAGAGGTCCAGGGTTTAAATCCTAGCTCTGCCACGAGACAAATTAAAAACCCGAGAGGCAGAATTTCTGGGTAATTAACAATCAGTTTATTAATTAGGCTATCTAATCATCAGTAAATTGATGGTCAGTGGTTTCGGTAAGCAAACACAAAAGACATGGAGAGTCTGAAAGCTTTTAATAATCCTTGAAAGGAAATTCCCTTGACAACTGGAAAATCAATCCTGACTGGTGGACATTTAATGAGGAGGCAGGCTATAAGTCTTTAGCTCCGCCCAGTGAAACTGTGGCTCGATCATGAGTCTTAACAGCCTTCAGCGCTTTTTCACGGAAATCCATCTCCATTCAGACCACTCTAGTTGGCTTTCTCCTTCATTAGCTGGGCACCCCAAACTCAGATGGAGGGGTACAAGGACAGGGCTCATTTCCTTTGGGTAAGGGTTCTCCTAGACTGGATTCTGTTTATATTCTAAACAAAAGGTCTCCTAGTTGGTTGGGGTCCTGCCCAAGATCAAGGAGCATGGTTCCCTGAAGGTTGGGTGATCTCAGTCATGTCCTTCAGAGGAGGCTGACCTTCCACAGGAGCTGGGCCTCCATGAAGAATCAGAGGAGAAAAGCCCAGATACCAAATTAACAATTGGTTATTAATAGTAATAGTAAAATAATAATTTCTCTCAATCACTTCCTGTGTGACTTTGAGTAATCATTCATCCTCTCTGTGCTTGAATTTTCTCGTCTCTAATATTAAATTAAATTAGGGTAGGAACTTGATGGCTGCTAAAATGCCTCCAGCTCTTGGTGTATTTCATCGTTGGCCACTACAGTGCCTCCAGCCCTCAGTCTATTTCATTTGGAATATCTCCCTTATTGAGGGCTCCTTTGGCAAGCCCTAGAAACCATCTGCATTCCCATTGGCCCCATTAAAAAAATGCTTATTTCTGGACAAGTTTTTGACCCAGTTCCTTCTTCAGATTTGATTTATTTTGTGCTGTTGAGGGAAATGAAAGTTTTCTGAGGCAAAGGGTGTGGGAGGGAATAGGAGGAAGAAAAGAATAGCTTGTGATCTCCTTCCACAAGAAATTCTGTTATCAGTTTTTGCCCTGATTCCTTCCTCCTCGCCTGAGTGTCTGTCTCCCTCGTCTTGGTGCAGAGCCTGGGAATGGGATCCCCTTCTTATCCAGCAGCAATAGTGGCAACATCATGATGGCATACAGTGCCCTCAAGCTCAACTTAATCAATTTTTAGGGAAAGCAAACAGTTTTCTCTTTTTTGGTGGTCAAAAAACTTTGCCAGCATGATCAGCTCTTCCATTTAGGTTGGGTTCACCTTTGGCATCCTAGTGGAATGTTAGGGATATTGGCACTGTACTCTGAAAAGTGCCCATTATTAAAGGGAGTGCAAAGCTGGGGAGAAGAAGAGAAATGCAACAGGCTGGAATGATGGATCAAAAGGATCAAGATGAAATTAAGAAGAGAAGAATATGCAGTTCTTCATTTAGGATCCAAAAAGCCAATTTCACAAGTACAGGGTAGGAAGACCTGTCTGAACAGCAGTTAACATGAAAAAGACCTGGGGCTATTAGTTTACTACAAGCTCAAGATGAGCCAAAAGTATGATGTGGCTGCCAAAAAAAACTAATGTAATCTTAGGTTGCAGTAATAGAAAAATAGTGTCTAGACCATAAGCAGTAATAACCATAGTGCAGAGCACACTGGCCCGGCCACATCAAGAGCGCTGCTTTCAGACCTGGGTATTACATTTGGAGAAAGATTACATTGGAGAAAGATGTTGACAAGCTAGAGGGCGACCAGAGGGCAAGAGGTCTGGAAATCGTGCCACGTGGTGCAGGGTTTGAAGAAGTTGTGGCTCTCTGATTAGAAACCAAAAGGAGGAACAAGGCAACTTGCCTCGAATATTTTGAGGGATGTCACTCGGAAGAGGGATCCGATTTATCCCACAATTCTCAGGATCCGTGGGTGAAAGTCACAGGGCAGTGGTGGGCAGTTTGCTGTAAGAAAGACCTTTCCGTAGGAATGTATGTATAGAGCCTATATCAGATTGCACGCTGTCTTGGGGAAGGAGGTAGGGAGGAAGGGAAGAAAAATTTAAAACTCAAAAACTTATGGAAGTGGCTGTTGATAAATCAAAATAAATTAATTTAAAAAATAAAAAGAAAGAAAACTTTGCAACAATTAGGAGTGTCAAAAGTGGAGTAGGCTAACTTACAAGGTAATAAGTTCCTCATTACTGGAAATATTTAAGGAGAAACTGGATGGCTTCCTCTCAGAGACACTATAGAGGGGAACCATGAATTGAGCAGGAGGCCAGCTTCTAAGATCCTCTCTAAGAAGAACTCCCTTCTACTTCAAGATAAATCAATTAATGAAATTTGGGAAAATGGAATAATATCCTAAATGTACTTAGCTCTCTGTTTTAAGGAAACCTATAACAGTTTTGGGTTTTTTTAAAGTTAATGATCTGCTCCAAGGAGCTCATAGTCTAATGGGGAACACAATGTGCAGACAACTACGGACAGATGAACTCTTTCTCTCTCTCTCTCTCTCTCTCTCTCTCTCTCTCTCTCTGTATATATATATATATATATATATATATATGTATATATATATATATACACATATATATATATACACACACACATATATACGTATGTGTATATACACACGTGCGTGCGCTCATGCCCACACACACACACACACAAACACAGGATAAATTCAAAATAATCAACAGAGAGAAGGCACTGGAAGGTATAGGAAAAGTTTTCTTGCAGAAAGTGGAATTTTAGCTGAGACTTGAAGGAAGCCAGAAAGGTATAGATGAGGAGTGAGAGAATTCCAAGCATGGACAGCCAGTGAATGTCAGGAGTCAGGAGATAGAAGGTCTTGTTCCAGGAACAGCCAGGAGATCAGAGTCTCTACACAAAATTCATCTGACCTGGGGGACGATATAAGGTATGAGAAGGCTGGAGAAGTATGGGGGAGGGCAGGGAGAACAGTTACTGAAGAATTTGAATGCCAAACAGGATTTTATGTCTGATCCTGGAGATGATAGGAAACTGCTGCAATGTATTGGAGAGCAGGGCCGGCCTGGCCAGATGGGCACTGTAGGAAGCTTAATTTGAGGGCTGAGTGAAGGATAGACTGGAGTAGAGAGAGACTTGTGACAGGCAGAGCAATAGAAGGTATTTTTATTATTAGCATGTATGATATAACCAACTTATTCTGTCTTCAAGCCTAGTTTTACAATTTTAAATTGTTATAGGTACATACTAGTATATTTGCCCCCCTCGCCCCAGTTGACAGATTGTTACTGCTGAAACACGAGTCTGCCCATGTTATTCTCCTACCAAGGATCTTCAGTGGCTCTCTGTTGCCTAGAATAAAAGGCAAAATGCTCCATTTGGCATTTAAACCAGTCCACCATTTCTAGGTCCAGAACATCTCTCTTAACACAGCTTTCTTTCCTTTGTTGCAGCTGTCAGGGTTTCCTCCCCTTGCACCTGGACCTGTGCAATGGCTCCTAGGGTGGCTCCCACTCTACTCCACCCTTCCATCACCTGTCAGATCCATCTTGCTCTAGGGTGGGTCTGACCTTGTCACTTCCCTGCCTCAATAAATGCCAGGACTTTCCCATTAGCTCTAGGATCAAATAGAAAATCCCATGTTTGGCCTTTAAAGCCCTTCATAAACTGGGCCCTTCCTACCTTCCTAGTCTTTTAACCTATTCCCTTGTACGTATTCTGCAGCCAGTGACACTGGCCTCCAAAAAAACACTGTGGTTTGTTTGCTCAAGACAGCCCATCTCCCACCTCTGAGCATTGTCACCGGCAGGCTCTATTTCCTCCTTTCTGTCTTATGTCTCTGGCTTCCCTGCTTTCCTTCAAGTCCCTGGTAATATCCCATCTTCTGCAAGAAGCCATTCCCAACCCCTCCTAACTCTCCTGCCTTGCCCCTGAGACCCTACTTCATCCTGTCTGTGT